ATCAAAACTTACCTACATCTTATAGTTTTTGAGTTATTGATGGACAGGCATATCTACCGTTCCCCTTATGCCACAATAAAATTGGGAATACCGATGGATCGGTGCCAAAAAACAATAGTTGCAAAAAATTTTATTTTGTTCTAGCTCTATTTAACGATTTTTAATGCTAAATAAACCATTTACCACCCTTTTGTCAAACACTTTATTTTATAATTTCTTAATAGCTAACTGCTATCATATTGTTTAATCCCAATCGACCCAACCTTGTCAACAAAAATACCATTAAGTAAGTTATCATTTTAAAAATTAATATGCGAAACATTTTGATTATAAATATAATTAATAATTAATGTTTGATATTTGTAGACTGCAGCAATATGTTTACTTTCACTTACTTAAACGGTACCTACAAATGAAATATCGCTCAGAATTACTATCAAATGGCAAACTCTTAAGACTTATAAAGAATCTAAAGTTTTTGAATATAATTAATCAAAAGATGGAAACTTTTTCATTGAATATTGATTTAAGTTCTCTCCCCCTTTTAAAAGAGATTTGTACTCGCTAGTAATCTAATTGTATTTGTTTGTATTTTATTTATTTATATAATATTCATTAATTTATTACAATAATAATATTTAACAGTTTATCATTTTGTTACTATGCACTTATTACCGACACTTGTACTCATACTTATAGCCAAATTAGTCAAATTTATTTATAAGTATTGTATCAAACAATAATAACAATATGTATTTGAGTAATAATAAAATATATTTTTTATTCAATTACAATAATAAGTGGTATCCAATAATTGTTTATTTTTCAATCTTGTGTTAAAATAGAATTATTTTATTGTTATACATTGTAAAAACATATTATGTATTAAATTTTATTAAATATAAATATATTTATAGTGTACCTTAATTATTTAATTAATGAAACATAAAAATAAATACTGTAGTCTTGTTATTGTTTAAATATTAAAAGTTTATAAATAAGTTAGGAGAAATACTTTCGCTCATTTTAGTAGGCAGTAATTAACTGATAACTACTTATTATTATTGGGAGTCAAAATCCAAAATCAAAATCCCGAGTATTGAAATCCCGAAAGTCATAACCACAAAATACATATTACCTATTATTCAATATTGTAATTATTGGCTCAATTTTACTAGTGTATAATAATTAGTCAAATAAAACTAAATAATATCAATGATTTATATATTAAGTAAAATTAAAATAATTATTTATATATATATATATACTGTATATTATAATCTTCGAGATTATGTATTTCTGGGTTTTGAATTTCGAGGTTTTGATTTCCGGGATATTGATATGATGCGATTATTATCCAGGGTCACTGATAAATATGGAGGAAAATACAATGTATTATTATTTTTAAAATCTAATCAAGTTTTGTGTGCATTAATGCATAGCATGTCTATGAGATTTCTAAGAAAACCAGCTTTTGTTGATAGAGATTTAAATAAAGTTTGATTTGATTTGTTTTAATTTTCGTGTCCATTATTTGACTGATAACAACACAAAATTTAAAATAATTACTATTGGTTGCTATTTTAATAATGATTGTTTTCATCATGTATCATATCAAAAAATAAGTGACACTATCATTGCATTGAATTTCATCATTTCATACTTATGTTTACGAATTGTCAGTGACTTTACAAAACATACATTACTTTTGAAAAAATAATGACAAGTGAAACTCAAATTAAAGTTTGTCTCGTTTGTGGTGACAAGTCAACGGGTATGTTATATATTATGCAATATAATGTATAATAAATTTAAATTGTACAAAAATTTACACATTTATTATATTGAAAAATAATTACCATTTTGTGGTGAATAGGCAATCATTTCGATGCACAGACTTGCGAATCGTGTAAATCATTCTTCCGTAGGAATGCTCTGAAAAATGCGGTTAATTTTCAAATAATATATCAATTTATATAATATTAAATATTAAACGTTAAACTCTTTTAGAATAAGTTTGCATGTTACCTGGGTGGGAATTGCAAAACAGATCTTGGCAACAGAACTAAATGTAAGAAATGTCGGTTAGATAAGTGTTTTGCAGTTGGTATGAAAACTGTAAGTAAAATGTAGACCTAATATAAGTTAATATAATTATTATAAATAAATAATTTTATTTAATTTGTTAACAGAACTTATTTTATTCGGATGAACAAAAACAATTGAGAAAATCTATTATTGAAGGCAATAGAAAACGAAAAGCAAATGAAATGACAGAAACTAGTGATGAAAGTGTTTCTTCAACTCCCAGTCCATCACTGCAAACATCCGATGATATTATTTTTGATGACATCTGTTATGATGAAAGTCAGACCTCTTCAGACGTGTCAATAGATAATAGTTTTGACAACTTTTCAATCAATACAAATACTTGTGATTTGGATCAATCAGTCATACCTATCACGAGACCCATCACTGATTACAGCAATAACTACAATGAATTAGAGGGCAATAAATTGAATGAATTATTGGATGCCCTCAAGATTTTTGAGATTCCTGTGACCACTACTGAACAACCAGTTATTGTCGACTCATTTATATCAGCTATTGATATATTATTTCAAAGACATGAGAGTGAACTGCGAAAAATCATTAAAATGTCCAAATGTTTGACAGCATTTAAGACATTATGTGAGCATGATCAAATGATTTTAATAAAACACGCTGGCGTTGAGGTGAATATATTGCGGACGTTTTTGTGTTTTAATTTCGAGGACCAATCTTGGAACATAATTGCCGTGAGCATTTTATTGTTATTTCCAAATATTGAATATTATATTGAATATTGGAAATACAGTATTACGGTAAATAAATTAATGTGTATTATATTCTTAAAGGATAACAAGCCAATTGTTGTAAGATTGGACTTGTTCAAAGTGACACCTTTCGATACGTCAGCACTTAGTCCCTATAGTAATCACAAGAGTTTTCTCGAGAATATGGGACTCGACTGGGATTCAGACACTCTTATTATAGACTTGGTATATATATATATATATATAATATAAATTTAAATATATATATATTAATTATTACATTTGATTATATTAAAAACCATTCTAAATTCATTTATTTTAAAGTTGACGGCTATAGTACTATTTAATCCAAATCGTCCACATCTGATAAATAAGCACATTATTACGTAAGGCATTGTTTTATTTTAAAATTTCGATCGAACAAAATTTAATTGAATTGACCTGGTGTTTATGGTATTTTTTAGGCTGCATCAGAATATTTATATACATTTACTCCAACGTTATCTACAAATGAAATATCGATCTGATTTTCTAACGAATCGAAAACTGGGACGACTTATGGATAACTTGAAAGATTTAAATATCATTTACGATAAGGTGTCCACAACTTCTGGTGTGCTATCCAGTCAAGGGTTAGACTTTCCACCACTAATCAAGGAGTTATTTAGTAACAATTAAATATTACTCATTACTATATACTGTATATATCTAAAATGATTATTTCGATATAAATTACTAAATATTGTACAAAAACATAAATATAATATAGCATAGAACTTAATCAGCAGAATATAATTGTGAATTTAATTTATTTGAACTCAACATTGTTGTACTCATTCATTGTTTATGATCAAAATATTTGTATCTAAACTCATAATGTTAATATATTAATACAATATTAGAGTACATTTTGCTTTCAATCACTCACTTAAACGAGAACATCATTTCGACTTTTGTAATGTAAATAATGTTGTTTATATTTATCGGGTAAACACTTAGCTTTTAAGATATTTTAATTCTAGTTAATAGCTATCATAAGGCTTAAAATCATAATAGAAAGGAAGTGTACGGGTATATTTATGACCAGAATTAGTTATCGTGTTATAAAGTCTGAATGAGCTTGTTATTATTTAGACTCTGGACTGCATCTCCAAACCTCTGTTGTCTACATTTAATTAATTTTTTGTTGAAAGGTAGTTTTATAAATTGTCTCATTATTTCAATGCCTTGTTGAAATAGTGTTTTAATTAACATCAATCATACCTGTATAACAATACTAAGTTTATATTTTCAATAAAACAACTTTTTAAGTTTAAATATTACTTTTTGAATTCTAACAAAACTAATACAAGTTTTAAAAATATGAATTCTAGCGTTTTTTAAACTAAATCATTGCATCATCTATACATGATTTATACAAATTTTATATCAAGTGCCAGTACCTGAATGTTTTATTCATTTCTATCTATTCTATTTATTATAATGATTTTAAACAATTTTGCTTGTAAAACTAAAATAAAATATGATTACTAAAGTATTTACAAAAAAAACATAATAAATACCTAATTTATAAAAGTACATTACGTTTCACATAGTTGATTATGAATTGAAGAATTAGTTATCGTGTTATAAAGTCTGAATGAGCTTGTTATTATTTAGACTCTGGACTGCATCTCCAAACCTCTGTTGTCTACATTTAATTAATTTTTTGTTGAAAGGTAGTTTTATAAATTGTCTGATTATTTCAATGCCTTGTTGAAATAGTGTTTTAATTAACACCACTCATACCTGTATAACAATACTAAGTTTATATTTTCAATAAAACAACTTTTTAAGTTTAAATATTACTTTTAGAATTTTAACAAAACTAATACAAGTTTTAAAAATATGAATTCTAGCGTTTTTTAAACTAAATCATTGCATCATCTATACATGATTTATACAAATTTTATATCAAGTGCCTGTACTGAATATTTTATTCATTTCTATTTCTATCTATTATAATATGATTTTAAACAATTTTGCTTGTAAAACTAAAATAAAATATGATTACTAAAGTATTTACAAAAAAAACATAATAAATACCTAATTTATAAAAGTACATTACGTTTCACATAGTTGATTATGAATTGAATGATTTTAAACAATTTTGCTTGTAAAACTAAAATAAAATATGATTACTAAAGTATTTACAAAAAAAACATAATAAATACCTAATTTATAAAAGTACATTACGTTTTTCATAGTTGATTATGAATTGCAATATTTTTATTTATTATTCAATTAATAATTCAGTGTTTATGCCAAGTATTAATATATTGTAATAAAACAAAAAACGTGTATGTTATAGAAGTTCCCTAATCTCCTTGATACTTTTTTCGTAAATATGAGTGAAACTAAGTAGTGGTTGTTTTGAATCTTAATGAGCCATACATTGCACACAAGACTGTACGTACTTATTGAGCCATTTCTTACATCAAGAAATCCTTAAACTTTTACCAGACTTTCGACTTAATTAATTAAAATCTGATAACAATTAATAGCCAATGAGTGACTAGTGTGTAATTAATACATAGATAAGTACGTCCTGCGCTTAAATACAGTGAGGTGCTTGATTATCAGGGTAATTCAATTTATTTTATTCAACTCGTGATATCACATAAGAAATAAAAAGGCATTTTTATGTGTTATATAATAATATTAATATTACTTCATATTCTGTATCCTATACTTACGTAAAGTACTATACTTTCGATTTGTATGTCCTTAAAGTGCATTCAATACAGAAATTATTTAATAAATATACGAATGAGATAAATATTTGTACCAGTGTATTCGTGAAAACTTTTTACTAATTTTTTTGTTAATAGTGACTTGCGCAAATATTGTAGGATTTGTGGATTTGATAAATTTAAAATATATATCGCTTGCTAAGTAATTGAAGTGTTAATTCAACCTAATTGCCATTAGAGTATACAATGCCTAATAAAAAGCATAATAATAAAATTTGCTGGATATGTGGCGATAAAGCCAGTGGTAAGTACAGACACGTTTGTGTTGAAAAGTTATATTTTATAATCAGTAATAAAAAAATTAATTAATGTATTTTAGCAATAATTTAAATTAATTTATGAATAAAATATGTATTAATTAGGCTTTCATTTCGATGCCATGAGCTGTGAATCATGTAAATCATTCTTCAGGAGGAATGCCCTCAAGAATATAGTAACTTATGATAATAGCTATTAAATGATGAAAACTATCTTTATAAAAATATTTTAAACACCAAATATTTAGGAGAAATTAAAGTGCTATTTGGGCGGCAAATGTCAAATTGATTTACTGAACCGCACTTTCTGTAAGAGGTGTCGACTCGAGAAGTGCTTCGAAGTGGGAATGAAAACCGTATGGACTTCTCAACAATCATAACATATTTTCCTTAAAAACAATTAAATATATATTTTGTGTCCAGAAATTCATTTACTCTGAAGAGCAAAAACAAATGAGAAAAGCACTCATCGAAGAGAATCGGTTGAGGAAACTGACAGTTTCCTCAACCGATTCTCTTCGATGAGTGCTTTTCTCATTTGTTTTTGCTCTTCAGAGTAAATGAATTTCTGGACACAAAATATATATTTAATTGTTTTTAAGGAAAATATGTTATGATTGTTGGGAAGTCCATACGGTTTTCATTCCGACTTCAAAGCACTTCTCGAGTCGACACCTCTTACAGAAAGTGCGGTTCAGTAAATCAATTTGACATTTGCCGCCCAAATAGCACTTTAATTTCTCCTAAATATTTGGTGTTTAAAATATTTTTATATAGATAGTTTTCATCATTTAATAGCTATTATCATAAGTTACTATATTCTTGAGGGCATTCCTCCTGAAGAATGATTTGCATGATTCACAGCTCATGGCATCGAAATGAAAGCCTAATTAATACATATTTTGTTCATAAATTAATTTAAATTATTGCTAAAATACATTAATTAATTTTTTTATTACTGATTATAAAATATAACTTTTCAACATAAACATGTCTGTACTTACCACTGGCTTTATCGCCACATATCCAGCAAATTTTATTATTATGCTTTTTATTAGGCATTGTATACTCTAATAGCAATTAGGTTGAATTAACACTTCAATTACTTAGCAAGCGATATATATTTTAAATTTATCAAATCCACAAATCCTACAATATTTGCGCAAGTCACTATTAACAAAAATTATTAAAAAGTTTTCACGAATACACTGGTACAAATATTTATCTCATTCGTATATTTATTAAATAATTTCTGTATTGAATGCACTTTAAGGACATACAAATCGAAAGTACTATACTTTACGTAAGTATAGGATACAGAATATGAAGTAATATTAATATTATTATATAACACATAAAAATGCCTTTTTACTTTATATGTGATATCACGAGTTCAATAAAATAAATTGAATTACCCTGATAATCAAGCACCTCACTGTATTTAAGCGCAGGACGTACTTATCTATGTATTAATTACACACTAGTCACTCATTGGCTATTAATTGTTATCAGATTTTAATTA